TAGCCTCCCCCCCCCCCCCCCCCTCCCGCCCCTTTTTGTTTTTTCTCTAAAGAGAAACCGACAAAACACCATGGTGGGTCCAGGCTTTTCGGAATTCAATACAACCACGCCCACCCCTGCCACAAGCCAATGGACCCCCTCTAATTCTCTTTGAGAGTAGCTTTATCGTCAGCACAAAGACGGAACCGACCCGAAACAAGCCAGAAGCCGAAACTAAGCTCATTTTTGCTGAAATTTAAATTATTTCCTTCGGTGCATCGATCTCATGTTTTTAAACTAGAATCGGTCATATCACGCGAGAAAAAACACTGCGGAGGTGGCCGCAGTACATGGCTCAAAGGTTTTACTAATACTCAAACCTTCCATTTTATCTTAGTTTCGCTTGATATAGAATTGGCTTATTTCGAAAAAAAAAATCTTTTTAACTTTGATATCGTAAAACAATATAATCACATGGCGCAAGAAGCGACCAGGGACCCTTGACGCGGTTACTTGGTGCCACAGCGTTTACTTATTTGAGTGATTTGCGGTGGCGGCGCCTCGTCCGGGCGAACAAAACAAAACAACAAATAATGCGGTGCTAGGTAAAAGAGGCTGGGGCCTTAGTGGCAATTGTTTTGCGAAGTGATTAATCTGAACACGTAATTATGAAAGTTATCGTTAGAATCTATTTTTTTTTAACATAGCTTTGTGACAATAGAATTACGCTTTGATCAGTACCAATATAAGACGCAACACTATCTACACTTGTGGTAATGATTTTTTCGCATTTCGGCAGTACAACATATAGTTCTGCTTCCGTGCAATTTAGAAATCGCACACCTATCTAAAATCAGGGTGGCCATTGAAATAAAACAAAAGCCGGTGCTCCTGAAAAAAGAAAAGAAAAAAAAAAGCTGAGACTTCAATGATTGTTGATTGTATCGTGAACTGGTTAATTTCGTTTGTTTTTTCCCACAAGGAGATCGGACACTTTTTAGAGTGAGCAGCTTTATTTTTGAAAGCGCTGCTTCGCGGGAATGAAAAGTAGGCTCTGAGGGGCCGTTGTTTACGACGGAAAGCCATTCCGAATTCTGGTAGCTTATTTCGAAACAATATGACACAACACCATGAAATAAATTTATGGTATATTTCGTTTTTTTTTTTAGATGCGGAGCATCTCTTGCTCGGGTCTATGTCCCGCGGCGTCGTAGTCCGCACTCACACTACGCATGCGCAACTCTCCTCCTTCCCTCTCTCCAACAGCTGCGCGTTACTCTGTCCGCGCTCTCTCTCTACCAGCTGCGTGCACTTCGCGTGCGTTCGCTTCTACTCACACCGCGCGCGCATGCGCAACTCTCCTCCTCTAGTCACCTCTCCTTCAAGTGTCGCTGCGCGCGTTCAGTTCACCGCTGTTGACTCCACTCCGTTCTTCCGATGAAGTGTGATGGAAGCAACAGTCCCGTCAGTTAGTGGGTTGGCGCAAGCAAGCGTCAGCACCACCCCACAAACTAACAGCAACGCTACGTTTACTGAATACAAAGCTGCGCAGCGAAGGGTACGCGACGCTGAGCGCAAACGCTTCAAGCGAGCGGCAGACCCTGAACTACGGCAACGAGAAGCGGCGTCCATTCGTCAACGTCGAGCGGCGGATGCTGAACTACGACAGCGTGAAGCAGCGGCGGTTCGAGAACTTCGAGCAGCAGAACCTGAGGTTCGGGACCGCGAAGTTCAACAACGTTCCTAACACCGTTAATAACACCGTTAATAACGATCCGCGATGCTCCGCATCACCCCATGGTTCCCCTCAGGAAGATGGTGTAATTTTTTAATGGCGATATCAACAATCTACATGCTATTTGGAAATCGGATCGTCCGAAAAATCTCGCAACACGAAATAGCCGAAATACCGAGCCAATTCTTTTTCCGAAGTAGAACCGGGCCGCGAAATGAGGCGTTCTCTGAAGCTCGAGATACATGGACGGCAGATTTTTCCGATACTACGTCCGATCCGATAGTCCAAACGCCGCTCCGAAATGCCGCACGCGACAGTTTGAACTTTGAGGCACACGCTTCCAACCAGGGATGGGCAAAATACATGCAAATATGTATTGAAATACAAATACAAAATACTTCGTCAAAATGTATTTAATTACAAATCTAATTACATTTCCAAAAAAGCATTTAAGTAAAAGATACAAATACGACCAAATGTATTTGGTCTATGCCAAATACTTTTCCAAATACATTCCTCAAAATTTTGTGTCAGCGACTTCAGGGCACCTGCAACGGGTTTCTGGGTCTCTCATTTTAATTTTGCATCGCACACTCGGGAGTTAGTGTGCGAGGCTCTAGTAACGTAATAGAAATATAATCACAAAAAATGTAATCAGCTTGGACGTGATAGGTGAAAAAAGTACAAAGCTTCAAGCAGCTTTTTTTGTCGATTACATTTAGGTATAGACCAACAAAGAACCGAGATGACCAAGACGCGTAGCACTAGCCAGAGAATTTTTTATTGTTGGAACTCACACCAGTTGCGAAAATCTGGACGACCCGCGCATTTAGAATGTTCCAGGCAAAAATATGGATGGAAATCAGGCTGGAAAGCATCACAAGTTCTCACAGGCACTTATTTAGCCTGTCTTCCTGTGAACGTCGATTTCGTCACTATTCTTGCCCTGGACTAGCACCGTAATCACGAAGTCACTAAACGCTTGTGCTTGATTGAGAGACACTGCATTCGGTGCAGAACGTAGTTTTCTTCCTGCTCTGGACACGTCTTAGGATGAGCAAAATGGGTCGTGGCAATAAATTAGAGGGATGTATATTTGCCCACAAAATTGTATTTAATTACAATTGTATTTGAAATACCCGCGATTTAGTATTTAAATACATACGTAAAATGCATTACCCAATTTTTAATTAAATACAAATGCAAAATACACAAAGTATTTGAAATACGTATTTCAAATACTTGTATTTGGAATACTGCCCATCCCTGCTTCCAACCTTGCATGCGACAGGACGATCATCTCGGCTCCGTCCAGGCCCAAGCGCTCCAGCTAGGTCCGCGTGGGAGAAATCCCGGGGATTTCTCCCCGTCACGCGCGTCTCGCGACGAAAACGTCATGCTTTGCGATGTGTAAAATCCTCGCGTTTTCGTCTCGTGATGCGCGCGTGCCGGGGAGAAATCCCCGGGATTTCTCCCTCGTGTGAATACCCCTTATGGGGTATCCACACGAAGGAGAAATCCGCCCCTTTCCTCCGCGGAGCGCGCATCACGTGAGACATACGTCATCCCTTTTTGACGCCTCGCTGTCCTTGCGCCGCCGTTCTCCTCCGTGGCGGAGGCGGGGACGCTACGTGCTGTCAGCACGAAAGCTCCGCAGGTGCTCGCGGCGGAGCCGGGGACGGAGTTTCCCGGGATGTTGACGTCACGACATCCGTCCGCGGAGTTCTCCTTCGTGTGGATACCCCTTATACAGGGTAGATCTCCGGTCCCAGATTGACGGTTGAGCTCGCACGAGCGCAGTTACGTGCTCGTTCTCGCTAGCGCGTGCATTCTTTGCTGGGTCAATCTTTCTCGAATGGGCCAGCGGGATTCACGCGTCCGGCTTCCCGTCGTCCGTCCCGTTTGTTGGACGTCAGTGCACTATATACTTCGAATTGAAGTTTTTGGGTGTATCATGGGGCAAAAGGTGTACAACTACACTTTTTATTTTCTGGTTGTGTTGAGACAGCAGCTTTAAACTATACTATTAATGCCCTGCTTTGACCCTTTAGTTTGTTCTGTCGTACTTCTAATAGCTATGACTTTGTAGGTGCGGCTTAACTATTCCAGTCAGGTCCGTATATAGAGAGAGTTCGATTGGAGGAGCGGGCATGGACAGGGCATGCACCAGACGCAGAAAGAGGGCGTGGCATGCTCTCTCCGCCAACCAGAAGCCGAAAGTAATCCCCTTGCGGTGGTAGCGAGAAAAAGTTTTAATAAGTGCGTAGGGGTTAAATGTAGTAAACTTTCACGTTTGAAAATATAGTGCACGTGATGTTTAGATTACGATCATGCAAAAATATGTGAGAATTGAATGTGCCGCTCGAACACTGTTTTGCTCGGACGTAGTCTCACCGCTCGGACGGCAGATTCCCGGCCCTCGGCGCCTGGGATGGGAATTCCATCGACCGTTCTGGTAGTCGAGCACGCTTTTTATATCTTCTATATCTTTATATACCTTCCGAATTCGTGAAGACTCCCTGGAACACGCGCAGCCCGCTTTCGGCCAAAGGTGCCTCCTCGTTTGCCTAGAGTACTTCCCAAGGAATGGCCAAACTCTCTCTATATGCGGCTCTGATTCCAGTCAAGCCGTCCCCGTCTCTATCACCAAGCTTCCCTTCCATTCTCGGTTTTGTACCTCGGGTCTTTTTCCTGAACAAAAGTTTAGTTGATCGCATAGGTATTAAGCCTTTTTCTTATTTTTTGCATCACATGACACCCCCCCCCCCCCCGTCCTTTTTTTTTTATCTCTTACGCCGCTCCTTTTTTAGGTCAGTCAAACAAAACTTCGTGTCTGGCAAGTTTGGCACGCCTGTTCCCACGGCCACTATTAACAACTCTGACGACCTTTTGAGACACGACAAAATAAAATAACGGACAAGACGCCACAACATCTCAAAAGCAGCTGGGGCAATTATTCACAAGGGAATGGCAGTATGTAGCCGTTCACGCGTACAGAAAAAAAGGAAGACAAAAGACATGCAGCCGCAAAAACATTTTGTCGTCTTGTACGTTATTTTATTCCTCCCAGTTTCAAGGTTTATATTCTGATGTTTCGTAACCAGCTCGGGGGCCTGAATGCTTTCGCTTCCGGCATGTAATCCCCCCCCCCCCCCCCCCCTTTTTTTTTTCTGCTTCACGTTTCGGCCGCTAGGTCACGGTAGATTTTTCTGCACACTTGGATGTACAGAACCTTCCCCCCCCCCCCCCCCCCCTTCATCTCTTCTCTTCTTCACGCCTTATGCGCTGGGTGGCGTTGCCTCCCCCGAAGCTGCGAATAGCAGGGAGGCTAGAGGGCACGCAAAAACGCTCGGAAGTTGAGAGTCGTCTCCCACTATGGACACTCTGAAAACCGCGATACGCGCTATCACCGCGTCGGCGCATATATATATAGATATCCGTTCATGACGGAGGGTGAAGCGGTCGGCTCTCGGCGCGAAGAACAGAGTCCTCATATCGCTGCGACGATGTTTTGGCGCGGAATACTGCTCGCGTTAGCGACGATCTCGTCTTCGGTATCTGCAACAGACAGGCCTATAATCGGTGAGTGCATAGTCTGTTCGCTTCTGCGATTGGGTTCGAAGCTCTGCCGACGTTGGACGGCGCGAACGGCTCTCTAAAAATATCAAAGGGACCGATACGTTTAGTAAGTGAGGACACAAAAAATGCTGTCCGGCAGGCATAGGGGGGTGTCACCGTTGATTTCAAATGCTGAGTGAGCACTGGATTTAGCCGTCACCGGGAACTATCAAATTGCTTCGATGGATGAAATAATAGGGGTGTTAACCGAAATATTTGCGATACCGATGGTTGGTAAATTCACTGACAGAATAATGAAAAGAACCAAATGCGTCCTTAAAAAAAAAAAGAAAAAAAAAAACGAATTGAAGGTGAATTTTGGCGTATTTTTATCCCGAGAATCTGAATATCACGTTCGTTTTCCCCGCGAGGAAGCACGAAAAATCACCGACCAGTCATCACGTCATACTAGGATCTTTAGACCGCCAAGCGCGTGTCGTTCGTGTGGGCAGCGCATGCAATTGCAGGCTTACCGGTTATATCTCTGCGCACTGACGCCAGTCGTGACGTCTAAACCGCATGGCGCGTTTTTGCTCGCGATTTATCAAAGCAGATTAGAAAAGGGGGGGGGGGGGGGGGTGCTTCTTGAGAAAGATCGGTTTGCAAATTTTAAAGAGCATTGAATGACACGTACGAAACGCGATGAGTTTATGAAACGCTGCAGAGTGGCATTCGGTGTTACGATTCCATTTAAAAAAAATACAATGTAAAGGGCAAACGGTCTACGCTTTCGGACCCGAGTGTACCCGTCCTGACGTCAAATTCGCAATAACTGTAACCGCAAATTTCTAGTCTAAGGATGAGCATTCAATCTAGGAATCTTGCTGCGCTAAAACACAAAAATCACTGCGTCAGCAAGCAGCTAGTGCATCTTATTGAGTTCATAATTATTTTTTGTTTCACATGTATGTTTCTTCTTAAAATCATAGCAGATGCTTACAACCCCAGTAACACTAATCCCTAGATGATTCTTCCAATAAACACATCGTCTGATGTGAGAATTTAGTATATCTATGAATCTGTTAAAAAGTGATAAATTATTAAACACGCAAAGCTTTGGAAGGCGACTTCATAAAAACTCTACATTCACACCAAGGAGAGAGTAACGGCGTTTCTTTTGAGCTCATGGAACCCGATCTTTTTTAGCCTTCGTAACGAGTAACGTAGTTATTTACTTTGGTAGTGAGTGACTAGTAACTGTATTTAGTAACGTTTTGAAGTAAAACCTACATGTCTGCACTAGTAATGTAAAGGACTTCGTTAGTGAATTTGTTTGAGGTTGTGCGAACTGGAGTCTGTCAAATACGATTTTAGAGATTCAAGTTCATTTGAAGACGCGTGATGACCTAGAAGCCACCACATTCATCGTTTCCTCGGACCGACCATTTTTGTCTGCTGGGCCGTGTATTCGTTAACAGTGTTTGAAATCGGGCTAGTTGGTTTTTTATGCTTTTATTAAACTGCGCTGCAAAAACTGCACGCAAGGAAACTGAACCAAGAACTAAGTGACATACGGAAACTGCGCTTATTTAATTCTGTCTGTTCCGTCGTCTTTCTCGTCACAGTGTCGTTACCTGTAACCTTTCGCTGCTCAGTTTAATCAAAACTGTGAATTGTGTTTCGAGCATTCGCAATAGCACACACTGGCGAAATATTGTACGCTAATGCATCCACTGCGCTGCGTTTGTTTTTTAATTTCTTTCGAATTTTCATTGAGTCAATGCCTTCCCGATAGCAGAGGCCGTCATTCTTAATGTACTCAGAAATTCCGGTGGCCTCCATTTTCTCATTTAAGTGTTACGAAAATTGCTTATAGCATTTTAATGAAATAATCTTAAGATAAAGGTCGCTGCCATTTTATCAACGTGTCTTTCACGCGCTTTCCGTATGTGACCAGCGTGACCAATTGCTTTTCCAGGCATCCTTGCGCAGCGATATTATGGCCGCGGAAACTTCAGCCAGAACGCGACTTACATCGCCGCCTCCTACGTCAAGTTTGTGGAACTGGCCGGGGCTAGAGCAGTGCCTGTCTTGTGAGTACCATTCATTTGTATTACGTACACTGCATCTCGTGCCTTTCATACGCCCGCGTTGGTTCTGAATAATGCAACCTCTGTTCCTCTTGTCAATAAGGATAGATAAGGCTGATACGGATATTAAGCCCACCGAACCGCGTCTTTTGGCGCGTGGGGTAAGGAGTGATCACATGTGCGACAAACGCGGCGAAGCTCCGCCCCCCCCCCCCCCCCCCCCCCCCCCCACACACACACACACACTCCTGTTTGATCTTGGGTGGTGGCGGTGGTGGGGAACAGATGACATCTGGATTGTGATTGCCTCGCTTGTCAACGAGCGTCTGGTACTTGTTCGTCGACAAGAGCAACGTAGCGCTTGAGAAATTAAAATGCTAGCCTACACTACCCCGGTTCGTTCTCAAATGGAATACGCATCATCGATTTTATCACCATTTCAACAATTATCTCTAACGAACTAGAAAAAATTCAAAAGATCAGTAAATGCGTTCAGGCTATATTAAACGAAGTTATTTAAAGGCGCCTCTGCAGGTGCGAGCGCTTATAACTATTTATGGTTGATATTGCATTTTGATGTGGTAGCAAACTGTACTTAATTCCGATTTTCATTTTCTGCTGCAGCATCAATGAACCTGAAGACTACTACGTCAATCTCTTTAACGCCGTAAACGGGTAAGCTAACGAGTCTTTCACACAATAATATCTGTAGATATAGTAAAATTACAAATAGTAGTAATTTATTTCTTCGAAAGGAAATAATACATTTGCGTGGTCTGTCTTCCAGCAGAGGTCGTCTTCGTGATCCTCTTTTGGGGAAAATAGAATATAACAGATGAAAGGAAGAAAAATAAGAAGAGATTATTAGAAATTAATATATGCAATTAAACTATTGTAATAACTTCTCGGTATGGGACATACCGTGGAACCATATTGTCTCGCCAATGTGACTTCAGGTACTGCCTCGTGATGAAAGAAGATTTCCAGGAACCTGCACGGGCGTACGTCGATATAATTTTTTTTGGGAGGTTACCGCATGAAAATTTGTTTTTAAAAATCTTTCGGGGAAGAAATGAATTTTGGGAGACGGATTTAAAGGGAAGCTTAAACGATTTTAAACATGAGATAAAGCACCCGAGCCTTTTTAATTAAACCCCAGCAATCACGAATATCGTATTCGTTTGTTAATTTTATCCTCGGAATAACCGGGAAACCGCCTTAAAAATGGTGCTGAAGCCACGCCCCTCCGAGGCAGAGAAAAGGGGAAGAGAGGAGGAAGCCAATCAGGCGACATCAGAAAAGGATCAGGCTGGGGGAAAACACCGCGGCAGGCCGCGCTTTCCTCGCAGGCTGATTCTACTGAATTTTCGAGTTGTCATCGTTGTGCCGCTGAGGACTGCTTGCTTTTATCTGTTGACGGTTCGTGCTATTGACTCAGTTGCCTTACGTGCTGATTGTTTTCATGTTTGCTCACGGGTTTGCGGTTTTTTCGTGGAACTGAAACGGCAGACTCGCGCCGAAGCACGATTGCGTACTCCCTGTATAGCCGTAGGCTTGTACGAATACCGTTCGCCAGAGTTATTCCTCCCGCTTAGCGCCCTTTTTCACTCCGCAACACCGAGATTTCAAAGGGATGGGATTCCGCTAAGAAAATAGACAAGTTCGTGCTCAACAAGTACAATGTTTTTTCTTTGGGACGTGTTCCGGACGAAGCACATGAGAATAATGCACGTACGCGGTTGGGTCGAAGGAAGGCTCGTCAGAACCCCATTCTTTGCCGACGATTTCTGAAAGAAAGATGACAATCTAGCGCTTTCAAAGACGCACGCAAGGAGGAGACAAAACTAGGTAGGAATTATAGGTCGACTGTCCCAGGGAAAAGCTATTACGCCATTGGTTGTGTGCAGTGTGCTGGAAAAGCCACGATCATGTAGCTAACTAGCGGGCTTCCACACATTTTTGTTAATCGCCTGATATTAGTGCTTTCCCTTTTTTTTTATACCGCTGAAGTGGTCATACTTCCATGGGCGAGCTCCACTACCCAATATTGCATTTTTTTTTTTTTAATTTACTCCACTACCGAGGGAGTTTGGAGGGGAGGGCTTATGTTGTTATAGTTGGTCATGCAATTCGTCATGCGATTTTTACGGTGCAAGTTGTTTAAGCACTGACTTTTTTTTTTGAGTCGCTGATATTATTTGGAGGCACATATTATTTAAACGAAAACATAAACTTTGTTATATTTTCCTTCTATAGGTACTTATTCTCTCCAGAAGCGCCTTTCGCAAAGACAGAGCATGTGACATTCTGTTGTGAATTGGGTTCTTTTTTTTATAAGTTACGCCGTGTTTTCCATATAAAGTTCGTATCATGAAATGGTTCTTTTCTCCATGACAAAGAAATCAGACGATGAAAATGCACGGTGGTGGTCTGGTTCAGTCAGCAAATATTAAGAGAAATTTGTGAAAGCAGAGGCACAGGAAGCTTTCATGAATTCGACATCAAATTGATGGCTACCGGGGACGCATTACCGCTCTTTCTAAAAATGCAACCTTGTAATGACTCACGACAAACAAATAAAACGCCGGATATGGTACCACTATCACAAGGACGGCACTTTTGCCCAGCTATTCGAGTAGTCTAAGTTGCTGGGGTGGGGGGGGGGGGGGGGGGAAGGGAGGGGGAGGGAGGGAGGGGGGGAGGGAGGGAGGGGGGGAGGGGGGGACTTTGAAGCTTAAATACGCCAGGACATCGCGGTGGCAGAGCTGCGACTCTGTTTCATATCAGGGGAAGCTCTCCCGTCGCCAAAGCCGGTTAAACTATCCCTTCAAACCACTTCAGCCTTAGTGAACAATGCAGCCTGCACGTTGACGCGCCTAGCAGCTGCCGAGCATGAAGGCTGGTGTATGCTGAACTCTGATTCTCTGACGACCGTTTTAGGTAGCGTTACGCTAAACTGGCCTGACGCGTCCCGTCACTAGAGGGCTTTTGTACAGCGTTCCAATACCTCCGTTACCCCCATAACGATACCGGATAACGATACGATGCTTGTGCAAAGGCGGCGGCGGAGTACAGTGTATCATTATCCGCGTCATCGGAACGATTTACTAAAAACTTTCTATTATCGCTCCGTTTATTGTCCACGTTTTACGTTACTATAAGAAGCAGTCGGTAGGTTCCCGCACGGACGAATACGTCTATGCCGCGTTGGTATATCATTATGAGCAAGCGGTTCCTCGTGTCTGCCCGTATTAGTGCGGGGGTAATTCTTCTGCTTTGCCAACGGCTGGAACGCGCACTTTTTCACATTGAGGGTCCTCTGGACACACGCCCCTTTAGGATCCAGCGCAAGAAATTTGAAAAATGAGCAGCACCCAATTTGCAAGATCAGAAGCCTCGGCGCCAGTTACTTCCGGAAGCGACGGAGCAAGCGAGAATCGAGACGGTCCTTTTATGACGTTCTGGCGGGTCACGTGTGTGACTTGCCAATCGCGTGCCACTGCAGCGATGGCTTCCGGTTTCTTCGTTTTTTTTTTTTGCGTTTAGTGATAATTGATGTGGAACGGTTGTGATATTTGAACTCGGCAGGCACAAACACGTCAGAATCAACTGTTAGCTTTTTTTTTAAAGCTCTTCAGCTTCTTTTTAAACTGCTTGTTGAGCACCTTTCGTTCAGTGTCGTGGAGTGACCCCAAAAAATCTTGACATCCTGGGAAAAATAAGACTAGACAGTGTGATAATTGAGATACTAAAGTGCGTGAGTTGGTGAGTGGCTGAAGCCTACCGTAATCGCTTGATACCAGTCAGGAAGTGGGGGTTACAAACGAGGACTCCGCAATGTTATGGTGCCTGCAGGAACGCCTCTCCAACAGCGGTGTCGACCGCGTTTTCAAAAATGTCCCTCGCTTTTAGCACGATGACGTCACAAAAGTGTCACGCTGTCGCCCGCCATGATCCTGGGGGTGCCACAGCAGTGATGGCGGGTGTGGCAGACGCCCCCTCTGCTGCAGGTCGCATTCCAGCTTGAGAGACCACGGAAGAGGAAATGCTAGGAAACAATCCCGCTTCTACGCACTTTTTGCGCAATTTCTACGACCTACCACCGGAATCGCGACATCGGACAGCATGACACTCCGGCTTTTGTGACGTCATTTGTTGCCACTTCAGGAGCACTTTCGATGCCATGGGTGGAATGGGACGCTAGACATACCAATCAAAGGCACATTCCAGCCAACGAGTAATGCTGCATTTAACGCCTCGCATGAGAATTTGGGACTCCTTATCTTCGGTTGACTGAGTGTGACGTCATGTTGTCACGTGACGTCGCAGTAATACATCATACCATAACACCATGACATGATGGCGTCACATGACGTAACGGTGTCAGATGACGTCACAGTGTCACGTGAAGTCACTCCAATTGAAAAAAAACCCATAATCCTTGATATGTTGTGAAGCGATGTGCGAATAGTGGTTTGATTAAAATAGTGCTGCATCACTCATAGCCTTCGCAGTACCAAACAAACCAACGGCATACCGGTTCTCTTTGCAGTGTTGAAGTTAGGAAAGACGGTAGGCTTTTTGATTCCAAGCAGTATTCGTATACCCCTAGTTATGGGAGTCTTTAAGTGCTTTAAACCTATTCAGCGCCACAGACACCTTAGCTGTTAGAACCCCTCAGCCCTTTAGACCCTTCAGTTCTTCAGCCCGTCACCTCTTAATCCCTTTAGAGTCCTAAATGACTCTAAAGGTTTGAAGACCCTTTAGAGTCATAAACTAAACATTAAGCCGTTGAAAACGTCATTGGGCGCACTTTTTACCCATTGAGATTTACATGCACGTTGAAAATAAGTAAGGCGATTATAACCAGGGTGTACTCAAACATGGTTGCAAGCAGCTGTAGAGAAATGCGATCAAACCGACTCGTTGCAACCAATTTTTTTTTTGTCACAAAAATATCTTCAAAGATACTCACAATGTCACTGAGTGAATTCCTGAGATGAATGGTAGTCCAGTTCTTAAAACCAAGTTGGCATGTAACAAACACAGGCTGTCAGCAACACGTTTAGTGAAAATCAGAAACACAAAACCTACGCCCGGTGCCGTTGAGTGAGCCTTGAGCACGGACACCCTGTCGTCCCTGGTGCCAAGCACGGTGGCATTCTCAGCTTCGTTTTTGCTATCGCTGGGCCCCCTTCTGATGCCTGACAGATAGAGACACAAAATACAGGGCGCTGAAAGACCTTCTCCCGTATCTGCGTTCTGGGCTGCAGGCACTGCTCTAGGCAAGAAATTCCACGTGTGGGACGGGAGGCCGGCAATGAGCAACCGTTCGTTCCGGACGCCCGTTACAAAATTTGCAAGCGATTTTTCCCGACGCATTATTCTGAAGTGTATTGTCATCTCCCCTCACAGATCCGCTAGAACTATTTTCAAGGGGTCACGTGCTTTCGCGGGACCGATCGTGACTGACAAAACATACCTTTAAGAGAACTATGACGGGCCTCTCTGATTCCTCATAAATTCTTGAAGGGCACGTGGAAACCTCTCAGAAATCTTGTGAGCCCCAAATATAGTTTTTCAGTAGGGACGTGACATCGTGGCTTTTAGACAAAAAATTGTTTCGGCTAATTTAACGGAGGAATTTCCCAACCATTATGGCAATACAGGAAATACAAGTACAGTACACCTAAAGACCTGCTGCGAGACTACGTCAGTAAATGCGGTCACCGAAAAAAAACAACATGAATGCCAACGTATGTACTGAACACCGAGAACACCACCTGCCGCTCTTGCCACTCAACGAGAAAAAAGTTCGATGCATGTTAAGAGGGCATTTGTAGCCGTTTATGTATACTTAACACTGCATGCGTGCGCCCCCCCCCCCCCCCCCCCCCTTTTCTTGGATCGATTTTGCAGTTGACTGGATAACTCCATTTTCAGGATCTTGTTTCCTGGTGGCTCGGCTGATTTAGTCAGCTCGGGCTACAGCAGAGCAGGATCAATTCTTTACAAGCTTGCACTCCAGGTAAGAGTGACGTAGAGATTTGTTCAGAGTATACGGAGTTCCAAATTAAAGGAAACCTGAAGGTGTTAATGAATTTGAAAAGCTACGAAAACTTTTATTATAATCCTATAGCTCATACGCATCCAGTTTTTACTGTTCAGAGTGGAAAGTGATGGTGAATCTTGTAAATTTATCATGTGGGTCAGTTTTTGTGATCCAGGTTAACTAGCCGCCATGGTGACCGCGAGCAAACGTCATGCCGGCACACGATGTCAACAATCGTTATACACCTCCCTCTATCTAGCTTCATGGGTATCGAAATTCTGATCGATAAACGTTACTTCGGCCACTTTGTTTACGTCAGTAGCACACCATAAAACTGGAGCCACGAATATGCATGTTGGAGAACGTTGTCAATGTTTACTACAAGACAGCGCTATCTGTCAAATGCAGTCATCATCGCTTACACAGTTGTGTCACGAAAGCACATTAAATTTGATATATTGTTTCACGCAATGGTAAAACTGAACTACTCACAACTAAAAAAAAAACAAAAAAAAAAAAACTGCGTTCAACAGAAACGACTCAATAAAAATTCATAGTGACAAAGTGATTGAAACTACAATGCCACCCTTCTGAGCGCAATAATGAGCCGTACTTTTCGCGATCCTTCTGCGTCCAGTTTTGAAATCGAACGACAAAAATGCGAAAACTTTTTGAGTAATATTTAAACAGCGTTTCCTCTTTGCAAAATGTTTGAATTAATTTCGCCTCTAAAACTACCTTTAACGTTTTCTTGAAAACGGTAGTCGCCACACGAGCCATCTATCCGTTACTTCAAAAGTTAGAAAACAGTTTTTGGTGATAAGCACATCCAACTCATGCTGATGATTGTTCCTACATCTACTGTACGCCGAGCCCCATAGAAACACGGTAAGCGACTTCCGTGAAAATGTAATTCTATCTTTAAAAATTGTTTAAATTATAAAGAATCGCCCCAACTCTGCATATTTAACAGTACGTGGTGCGGGCCAGCGATTTACTGAAGGTGGAGTAATGTGTAGGTCTTGTCCTCTAAGATAGCATTGGACACGACCCATCGTATTTTCCGAGAACGGGTTCCTATTTCAAATGTCCGTTTTATTAGATGGCTGCAGCATTAAGGAACAAAGGAAACCCCGCAAAACTCGACTCTCCTATTAAAAATTTGGCCGGTATGATCCATAATCTATAATGCCAGATGAAATAACCTCGTGGAATATATATTATGAACATTTTTCTTGCAAAGAACATAAGTTTGATCCGATGTTAGGCCCTGGATGTCTACCACACTTTGAGTGTTAGATGACGTAGATAACATTGCCTTCTTCCCCTTGTCTACAATCGCTTTCCAACTAGCAAAGTTTTAATCAAAAGTATGTGGCGCACAGCAGCAGAAAATATTTCGTGTGGTTTATGTTTAATGCGTGTATAAGATGTGAGATTTTTTTGGAAACCTATAAGAGTGTAAACTCTTATAATAAAGCTACTTGGTTTTCAGTTGTCTTCATATGGGTCTTTCATATGCTAATATGGGATATGGGTCGCGGGGGACCATATGGTGTTTTTTCATTAGTGTAGGGGTATTATCAAATTAATCGTAGAGAAAATGTTTTTTTATCTTTTTCAGGCGAATCACAATAATACCCACTTCCCACTTTGGGGAACGTGTCTGGGATTTGAGCTGCTCACCACATTGACTGTTGGCACGAAAGTTCTACAGGCCTGTTCTTCGAACGACCAGGCGACGAGCCTCAACATGACGGCAGGTAGGCTGTGGTGGTTCGCTATACTGCATCAAATCTACAGAGAGGAGAAAATAAATCCATCCCCTTCTGAATGAACTAAAACAAATAGGGTTTGCATGCTCCGACACTAACCTAGCACGAAGGTGGTGCTTGGCGGTGATCTTTTTGAATGAGAAATGGGGAGCATGTCTCAATCGGAAGTTTACAACTAATACACAATATTCTTGCATAAAAAATATGTTTCTTTCGCTCCGATGAGAAAAAGTGCAAGCGTTTAGTACGTTTGTTTTTAAAATATACAAAAGAAAAATAAACAGAAGAAAATTATTCAGACGTGGATTCTGTTGTTTGTTTGCAGAATAAACTTTCCCAATGGCTCACAAAAGTGCCTTTTTACTTTTAATCTACAAATGTTTAACTTTGTACTGCAGTCATAGAAGTATTTTTATTGGTAACTTTTAAATAAGAAGCTAATTTATATGGCCATTTCAAAAAAAAAAAAAAAAAAGCGAAACGCATTATGCCTTTGTGGTAAATTACAGTGCCGGACCTTATGAAACGGATAGTTAAGACTTATTTAAGATTGATTAGGTCTGTTTGGCCCTAGCTGTAGAGCGAAGTTCGAAATGCGGCTCACAGGAGTTCACGTCATCATCACGTTTTGTTGTGAATTGTTTCGAAGGAAAACAATTTCTTTTGAACAGAATGGCCGTGGCCATTCAGGTCGAATAGGGCAAGACCTTCTAGATTGAAAAAACCCTAGTGCTGATATAGATGTTGTCATCAGCGAAGGCCAACGCTGTAGGCACACATTGGACACGACGATTGCGTCAACGTTCCGCTACACCTTGAGTCAAAGCCGTCTGCTGACGCAGGACTCGTTTGTAATCTGTATCCAGCGTTGGCCTTCGTGCTTGATGCAAAAATGACGGACTAAGGTCTTGTCTTCTAGGTAGTGTTAGATGGGGCCACACCTTAGGTAACAAGACCTGTAGTGCTGCATTTTGTGACGTCACTTAGCGGAGGCCAGCACGGGGCACAGGTTGGCCACGAGTGCTGCGTCATAGTTTGGGCTAGGTCTCGTGTCCAATCAGTGAGTACACGAGCTTCAACCAAATGCTGACGCAGCCGGTGACGTAGAAAAAGTCAGCACTCTTGCCGTTATCTAAAATCTGTTTCGCAAGGCAGTGTCGGGAGGGGCGCATAGTCGTCCCGACAACAGGGAGGACTATATGCGCCCCAAGAACCCCGACATAACGCATAGTTCTACAAGTGTTCGATGTCCTAACATCCCTTCAATGTTCAGAAATCCATTTTTGATGCCTGGGGAAATGCCACGAATGAGACGTCAACACGGGGTTGGTTGGTGGTGTAGATTTCAGGAGAAGCCGGCTATACGACAGCATTCCGAGAACGCTGGAGAAAGCGCTGCGAACCACTCCCATCACGTACAACGCTCATAGCTGGTGCCTGACGCCCACGGTAAGGACCTCTGTGCTGCTAGCCTTGGTTGAGCCAGCTGTTCTATATAATTGATCAACTAACGCTCAGTCAACCGCATTTTGAGGTTTGTAATGATAAGAACCAACAATGTGTGGCGTCGTAAGTAGTCATACTTTGGTGTATGCTCGAATATACTATTGACGCGAGAAGTATTGCCATTTTACTGTTGTGAAATTGGTGCTATTTGTGATGCGCAAGTGTATATTGTAAATAACGCGAGGAGAATCGTGCCGCCATGAAACATAAAAAATGAATTTGCACTTCTTCAGTTATTCCAGCCTTTCTCGGCCACCTCGGTCGGTTCGAAACAAAGCGCCGGCCTACGGATTTTTAGGTGACGGGTTCGAATCTCGGTCGAGGTGCCCGCAATCTGACGGAGGCTTATTGCGGAGAAAGCGCCGTGTAATCGAGCTTTTGTTTGCACGTCTATATATCGCCAGGTGTCTAAATTTATCCTCAGACCTCCGCTGGCTCGTGCCAGATGCCCGTCGTTAATTTGGCACGTAAAACCCCCAAATTTGGTTTGGTTCAGCCATTCTGATCATTATATTAAGAAAGCATTTCTGATCTTTATAAAGCAAGCGTGTAGGTTAGCTTGTTTAAGACTGACCTTGCAAACCCTTTAGCGGTAAGAACAACTTAATAAAAAAAATGTAAAAAAATATCTAAATTTGGAGACAACGCTATAGGCGGGCGAGCTGGCAGTTAATCGAAATTAGAGCACAGCACGGGCCCGGGCCAGCCAGAAGAACCGAGCTCGGCCTGGCCCACGGGCCGGGCTCTGGCCCGGGAGCAAGCATTTTCTCGGTCCCGGGCCGGGCGCGGGCTTGAACAAAAAAACTTTTCGGCCAGTTTCGGCCAGTTTCGGCCCGGGTTGGCCCGGGCTGTGCCTGGGCCGTTGTGTGTCGCAAATTCTAAGTTGTTGATAACAAAACATGTGCTCATTGATCTTTTAGGTTCAATGAAAACAAAAATGTGAAGTGCAAAATCGCTACGACGCCGCTTACAAAAAAGTTTTGCATTTGGAAAGCTTTTATGTGGAAAAAAAGGAAACGTATATATGGACTCAACCACCATAGTGTGAGAGTGCGGGCAAGAAAGCGAGGGCACTCCGGTCGCAGGATCATGAGTGTACTTTTCCTCTGCTTTGCAAGAAAAAAAAAAAAAAAAAAAAAAGAACTGGACTTTTACTTTGCACGTTGGAAGTTCGAGTGAAATTTCACTCTGACTTCCATTTTCTTCTCGCTAGGGGCACAGTCGGTTCAGAGCCCCCGCGCATTGCACGTTCAAGCACCACATGACCGTGTGCGGGAATAAAAATCGTTCCTCAAGCCCCTCTGCCATGTTGCGTATCTCACAGAGTTTTCCAGAAATGTGAGCGAACCTTCAACACACTTGATCCATGGCAGGGCGCTGGCGTTGAGGCTTGGCCCCTCTTCTCCAGTCATCGTTTTATCCCTCATGACGTGCGAAACCCTCTTGAAGGGGTACACACACTGCTCAAGAACGATACTTAAAAAAAAAGAAAATGAAGTCAATTTCAGGTATTTTTTTTGGCGGTTGATCTGGGCTCCAGGCACGTCCCAGGCAACGTTGCCCAAATTTCAGTCGAGACCGGCGCTTGTGTGCCGCGCAAATCAATTAAACAGTCGCGGTAATGATCGTACCGGGACCGATTGTCGCGACGCCTCGAGAGTTGCGGGAGAAGCCAGGAGAAGCGGGGTTCGCGTGACGTTGCGGTTCCTAGAAGCACGACGTCACAAGAGACGCGTCAGCGATTGGTCGAAACGAGATACGTGCCCCCGGTCACGTTTTGGTTCGCAATTTTTATGAACACTGTTCCAATTTCTACTCGAATAACCGTGAAAAGTATAAATCGGACCGGAAGTGATTAATAAACCGCAAATAAAAGAGCATAATTATTTTTCTTTTTGCTACGCTGGACGCGAAACGGGGACCGAGCAACTATGGACAAACAAAATAAATAATAAAAAAAGAACACAGCGGGGAGCACGCGGGAGACGTTTGGTTTTGGTTTCAGATGTCGGTGTCGTCTTTACTTTGGGAACACGGCACTCGAAGGATTCTGCAAAGCGATAGCAATACCAAATTTGTGCTCTGTAGAAAGCTGTTCAAACGGTCGACTGAAGACCCGTGATCGTTCGGGCGCCGCGAGTTTTCACGTACTCCGAAGCGGTGAGGCATTGCGAAGTCGCTGGTTGAACAGCGTTGTCTTGCGTAGAGGTCTTGGCATTGGCAATGGTGTCAGAATTTGTTCCCTACATTTTTGGCCAGAAGACTTAGAACAGCATATTCAGGTTAGCCGGAGCCTAGGCATAGGTGCGAAGCGACCCCGGACGAGGAAGGACGTCATTCCTTCTATTGCACCACCCGGTTAGTCCCCATCGTCCACGCAGGAGCGGCGACGAATCACGGTTAGTGATTCATCGCGTTGCGGTGGCGTAGGGTAGGCTGGGCGCCGACGAATCACTCTGGGTCGGCGACTGAGAGGTCGACGGCAATTCTTAAGCGTTCTCGTAGACAGGCATTCCAAAGTCCCGCGTCCTTTGGAGCATCTCACGTTCCGTTGGTGTTAGGTCACTCAACGAAAGCCCGAACTCGCTCGCAAGAGCGGCATTGTCGTCCATGTTGATAGGTCCGACGAAACGACCGCGCCTCTGCGTTGCTATAACCCACCGCGATAACCAGTTTCGGTCTCCTAAATGCTACCGATACTTACTATTCGCAATTAACGTCACTCTCTGCGTCACCTCCGTTTCCGAAGGTCCCGAAATGAGAATGGAGATAGTTCAGTTTCGGTTTCTTCAATTCTTTCGTAGGCATAAAAATACGCGTCACAATTGTCTATAAAAAATTGGGAAGTGTGCGAGGTTCCCAAGAAGGCTAAAAACACGATTAAAAAGTAATTAAAATCGTCTTCATTGTCTGTTTAAAGGGATACTGAACCGAAATTCTGAGTTCTCAAAATAATGCCACAGGAGCGTTGAACGGGACGATACGAACTCTAAAACATCACTTATACATCGATATCTCAAACAGATGGCCGTACTTTTGTAAAAGAAGGGCGCGATTACGCGAGGTCTTTGACGTCATTGTCCCCCGAGAGAATTTGAGAACGAGGGAAAGCGGCCTCGCTTCTCTCCTCCTCGCTTCGGTTCACCAGCTCGACGGGACGTAGCGAGGAGGAGGGGGAGTGGGGATCGTGACATGACTTGTCACGTCGGCCTCGTCGGCCGTGTTCAATCGCGCACTTCTTTTCCGAAAATACGGCGAACCGTTAGAGATATCGCTGCATGGGTGATGTTTTTGGTTTTTGCAGCGTCCCGCTTATTCGTCCAGCCTTGTTTTGTGAGCTCGAAATTTCGTTTCAGTATCTCTTAGACAATATAAATCACATCACAAAGATATTTTTTGTAAGTGATTGCTCAGAACACTTTAAAGTATGATGTAAAATTATATTGACCTTTGAAACGTGCACAACTCAGTGCAAAAAATTGCAGTGGCTTAGCTCGGCTATGCCAGGATATACGTAGCGTGAGCGGTTGGGCACGTCGCTCAGCCTCCTGGCGACGCCGCTTTGCTAGACGTTCCTCCCTTTGCTCCGGTGTCTCCGCAGCACGTTTAGCCTCTTTCTGTTCGTTCTTGCTACGCTCAACCGCTAATTGCCAGGCAACTACTTCGGGATCCGATGAGTTAAGCTTCTCCGCTCTTCTGCGCCGCTGGGCAGCAATTTCGTTCTCTTTGTCCATGGCTATACCACACTGGCAAACGCCCCGCTGTACGTATACCCGACTGATACCTCTGCGCATGCGCACAAAATGAGAGGCGCTATCAAGCGGCTCCTGTGCAGCGTCAGACTTGTCTACTGCGCAACGGAGGCGCACAGCTGGGCACGCGCCGGCGCCAGTGCGTCTGCCGCGGCTATCACGTCATTCCTCTGGAATGCGCAGACCGGCGAGGCGCGCGCGGCGGCGGCAGCTCCGGCGCGCCAGCTGTGCGCCGTGTGACGTCACTGCTCCTCGCGCATGCGCAGCACTGCTCTGCAGGAGCCACGCGAAAATGCTCGACCTCGGCAGTGTAGCTCACGCTACAATAAGCTTAGTGAGCATAGCATAACGAAGAAAAGACGAAGTTTTCGAATTAGTGTCGCTTCACAACAATAAGTCGACCGTGAGTCATCTGGTTGCTCCCTCCTTGAAGGGGCACATGTGAGCAATGGAAGTAAGTCCATCGATGTATGACGTTGCGTAGATATATGTTGAGTCGATTGTTAATACTGATATAGAAAGCTCCATGTCAATATAACTAATTTTGAGGTCAAGACTAAGTTGCGTCATTTATGACGCTCACAAAATCATATATCCGGATCAACAGGTTTATGGGACGTCGGGCAGAGGCGCCTTCTGGAATAAGACCTTTTATTTCTGCGGCGCTAAACTTCATTTGCAAGTACACGAGCCCTGGACCCCGTCATCTTTCTACTTTGTATGTAGCTTGTCTGATAGTCAAGCCTCGCTATGGCAAGACCATGGTTTCCAGAGACTGGCGCCAGTACAACTACAAAGCAGCTGCCCCCCCCCCCCCCCCCCCCCCCCCCCCCCCCACAAACACACACACACTGTGGTCAGACTAGCATGGCTGGTTGCCAACACCTCGGCGTCACGAACTGCTGCTATGCTGTCGAGTTGGGTGTTACAGTAAACCGAAGCGGATGCTACGAGCGCCGTCGGAGTCAACGCAGTGCCGGGTGACAGTCATGTGACCTTCGGGAAGTGTTCAGCGACGCGCGGCGCGTTTAGTAACGTGATATGTATACTTCAATGGATTTGTTGGAATTTCTCAAACCGTCCGCTGTGAACCGTCGCAAAGTGAAACTAAGTGTCAGCGCGTGCCGGTGACAAAATAGAGCAAGATTGAGCAGTACACCACAGCGAACAAACGGGCACGAGCGGTGCTTCGTAGTTTGACAGTGTACGCTCGAGTTTGAGATCAAATTTGATGGTAAGGGGCGGTGGAAAACTCGTGAGTTATAGTCGCGAGGCAAAGCGGAAGCTGACAAAAGTGTCAAGAAGTTTAGATGAACCCCCTAGCCCACTTGACGTGTGTGACCTAGGGTGCATACATGTTTCCGCACCGCTTTAGGGTGGCGCCAACTTCTAGTTGCCCTTTCCCAGATCCTCTCCCACCGGCATTTTTTCCCACTTCTTATTTCGCTAGACGTAAACAATGTTGAGTTTCTGTAGTCTAGAAACACCGGCAACACTGTGAGGCCACTTCCGTTGCAGTTCATAAGAAAAGTCGGAAGCTCAGCGGGATGGCGGTCGTGGTGGCTGTCGCTCTCTTTATTTGGGTGTTTCATATTTTGAAGTTGCGAGTAGGAAGTGCGCGTTGTTTTTAACGAAACGCGAGTTTCCGCGACCAAATGGGACGCAACAGACCGGCATTTCATGCCGAAACCTCGCCGTCGGAACGTGGGCGGTGAGCGCTTTCTAGCCCTAACTAGGATTAGCGGCGTAGTCCGAGCGCACGACCGGCGAGTGTGACAAAATGGTCGACGAAAACATCGAAGGTTGCCATGGTAACGAGGTAGGCAACACTAGTTTGGCGGCCACAGGTATCACAAACGTTGTCGCCACCCTAAACAGCGGAGCAGCAGAAACATGTAGGCACCCTACTGTGACGTTGTTGAAGTATGAAACTCGCACGACCCATGTTTCATTATTAGTGATAGAGCAACGTGCGTCGTGCAGGGCTGGGAGTAGAATAAAACTTCTAACTGGATTAATCGCCACCCTTTGTATCGATTAAATAATTGATTTATTAGATTAGTTCATTTCCACGCATAATATTTTTTGAGTCATAGTTACATGTTTTTTATTTTGTTTTGTGGTAAATATGCGATGGCGCGATATACGATATGGAATATGAATCACCCTCGATGTGTAGTTGAGAACAGTCCAATCACACTTACACTCACAGAATACTACTTCAGCTTCATGAGGCAAAAACGTACCATCGATTGTTCACGATAGTCTATGCTGTGCTATATAAACTAACTCACACACCGCGTTGAAGATGGCCGAAATACGTATAACCTTCTGCACTTGTCAGAAGTTACAAATCTCGCCCGTATGCAGTTTACTTTAGGTTAAAATTTCACCTGAATTGTGCCCTTCATACAGTTGTACTCCTCCACGTCTTCGTGATGAAAGCGTTTATTTTTAATTGAGTTTGGTTCCTCAAGTTGTTACCGCTTAACCGGTGTAAAAAAATAATCGCGACCAAAACATTGATTGATTAATCGGTAGTTCGATCGATCAATTGTCCAGCCCTACATTTTTGAGCGAACATGACATGACCTTAACAGAATTACTCCTAGTCTCATATATTCCGATAATAACGTTAAGCGGAGTTGAAGAGATATTATTATGCAATAATATACGCGCAATTTTTTTTTTGTTTCAGAATTTTACCGCTTTTAGGTTAAACGGATTCTATAAGATACTCTCGACAAGCGTCGATAAGAACGGAACTACCTTCATTTCGTCCATGGAAGGTGAGTGATTTTTGCTCCGATATCATGCGTACTGACGCGAGATCGCTCTTTCATGGTTATCCGCCAGTGGCGAAATTCCGGACGTTTTCTTTCCAAGTTTTTAAGTTTGCGCTTACGTTACATTGTCTGCGATCGCACGCTTACGTTTCGCTAAAACGCTATGCAGAGGGCAACTTCGTCTGCTTCTTTTACAGGGGGTTGTGGTGACGTCAGAAAAACGCCGAGCTCTGATTGGTTCTGAATGGAGGATAGCGAAAAGACCTCAAGGCCGCTCGCCTTGAGGTCTACCCACTATCTTTCAATCGCAGCCAATCAGAGATTGGCTGCGATTGAAACGCAGGGTGTTGCGAGTCTCCATCTTGTTGTTACTCCGGAGCCAATCAGGTTGCGACGTCAACCAATAAGAGCGCGCAGAAGAACCAATCACGAAGCAAGAAGCGTGGTTAGGATAGACCACGCCCGGCGCTCCTTAGGTTGTCGATGACTGTTGTGAAGGTCGTGGTGCCCCGAAGTGTCCACCTGGGGCCGTTATATGCGCATTTTACTTTATTGCTTTTTAAAGTGTAATTAAGCATGACTCCAGATTGTCTCACTGAATATTCCTCTTTTTATTTTTAAATACTCCAGCGCCGCTGGGGCTGTCGGATGAGTGGAAAAAGCAAAATTTGAAAATGCAAAAAAAAAAAAAGCGAGAGAGGAAAATATACAAATTGATACAATATGCAATCATACGAGTGATAAATGCAAAATATCATGAGTAGTTAGTCGCAGAAAAAAAATGAAATTGTAGTGAAATGAGATCACCGGGCAACGAGCTCTAACTTACAATGAATCGAGGGAAGAGACTGTATTGAAACGAATTTCTGCGCGGTTGAACCGGGGAAATATTTAGTGGGTGGTAGTGCATTTACAAAATTTAGATACATATTGAATAGTGAAAACGTGAGGAGTTAATCAAACTGCATAGTAATGTTAGGCATTCGCTGCGGAAAGGGGATAAAATCTAAGAAAAAAAAGGTTAGAAGATAAATAATATGTCATACCGGCGACAAATAAAACGTACTGTTTTCTCGTGGATGGATTCAACCGCGTTAATATCAGGTTGTTTGTAAGGATTCCTGAAGATAGAGAAGTATTTGAGTATTGGTTGAATTAAGGTTTTGTAAATCATAAGTTTTTGTTTGTGCGGCTGAACGTCAGGTACGTTGCAGGTATCCGTGTTTAAGTGACATGTTACACGTGAAATGGGTCTTTTAGCAAGATATAGTATGCTTAAAAAAGACCCAAATCCCTACGCTCAAACACATACTTTTGAGAGAAAACTTTTCCTATGAATATGAGAATATAGAGGTAGATCAGCGCCAAGAAAATTAATTTTCCTGAAATTTATTTTAATTTGCCAGGATTTACACCACGCGCAGAGGCAAGCAAGAGACTCGTCAAGAATTTGATTCTGAGACAAGTTACTTGTATAACACAAACGTAGTCGTCGGCGTTTAGACGTATTGTAGTGGTAATGTTATATAGGATATCACTGATATAATAAAAAGGGAATATGTCCATCACCGACCTTGCGAGACAGCTGATGACACATCCGTATTTGCAGAATTGAATGAATTGAAACTTACATATGTGAGCGATGCGAAAGGAAACTAGATATTCGGTCAACCAGGGAAGGATTTTTTTCATGGTGTTAAGCTTGTGTAAAACATTTGTTCGAGGTACTGTGCCGGAGGTCTTGTATAAATAATATTATATTGCGACAGTTTGATTATCAGTGTAGAGGTCATGACAAATAACATGAGCGGATTATGTAATCTGAAAAATGGTGCTGAACACACGTCAAAAACCCAGTTGCTAATCGTATAAAATATTGTGAACTTTAAGAAACTCAATGATGAACTTGTAGGTAATGTGTTGCATATGAACTTTCGTAAATGTGAATTTAGGGTAATTGGTTTGTATTTTGAGATTAAATGTGTGTTTTCTGATTTAGACAGAGGAACGAATTTCGCTAGCCTCCATGACAAAGAAACATTGGCTGCTGAGAACAATGTTTGAAAAAAAAAAGAAGAAGAGATATTTACTAGTCCAAAGGGAGTTGCGAAGAAGACAATAATCGTGAATATCGTCTTGACCGGAGCGTTATTAACTATTTTTTTTAGTGAAACAAGGTTTAGCACACATTGATTGCACAGAGTTACTTCATTCATTCAAGAGTGAGTCGATGAAAAAGGAGGTGTATTGGAATGACCAGAACATATATATAATGTTTAAACTGCCAGTCAGCCGGCGCTCTAGATTGCGAGCACAGGCCAGACACGCGAGTTGATTAGAAAATTACAAAATGACACGATTGACTACGGAGAGTTAATAAGATGCCTTAGACACGTCCTTCTATAGTCAGTAACTAGAGAAGGAATTGATTCCACTATTATTTTAACGTAGTTAAGCCTAGACTAACATTATATACGATAATGAGGTGTAGCAAGGCACTTAAGCGTGTTCTAATGTTCGAATGTTTTCGTTTCCATCGCCAGCTATCTCGTATCCGTTCTATGCGGTCCAGTTCCACCCCGAAAAGAACAGCTTCGAATGGAAACTGGACAAGCGTCATCAGAACATTCCCCACAGCGTGGATGCGACGAGGCTCACTCAGTACATGGCAAACTTCTTCGTCGGAGAAGGTAATGACATGGTCGGACGATATAGTTATTTTTTTTTATTTTCGTTACATCCGACTAGTTTGTTTAGCATCCTATTCCGCCGATGAATACAACGTTGTGCCGTCTTGGCGGTGGGCGTAGAAGTTCCGTGGAGTGTCATTGTAGTCGCGACGTCCCAGCTGCCGACTGCCGTCGCTTCCGTCAAGTGTCGAGCAGGAGGGCGACTTGCAGAAGAACAGCCAGGCGACTGCTTGATCCACCACCGCTACCGTCACACCGCCAGGCACGCGGCCTGCGGCAACGTGCCACTTTCGTGACGTCACCAGGCGGAAATCGAGGGACCACTTTTTTGACGGCGGTAAACACACCAGTCGCCGCAGACGCGTTTCAGGCAGCGTGGTATGACGTGAAAGGTGGGCCGACGCAAAGCAAAACGTTTGAACATTGTTAACG